GTCGCTGCAGCTTCCTGGAGGCTCTGCATTGTGGTGGCTGGGGTCACCCGGTTCTTTCCTCTGCTCCTCTCTGGGGGGGTGCGGTTCTCCCTGTTGGGAGACTCCTGGGGCTCCGGGCCTGTGGGCCGCTGTGTGTCTGTGGCTCCGGTCCTCCCTATGTTGCCATTGTGTCCTGGGGGGGCGGGTCTGTGGGCCCCCGCGTCCACTATTGGGCATTCTTTTGGAGAAATCTGGTGGTGGTGGGCGTGCTTGCGCGGGTGTTTGGATTCAGGTGCTGTGACAGATGCACGCTAGGTTGGGTAGTGGTGGAAGCTAGATGATTCCTTGTGCGATGTCGAATGTTTCATGGTGATATTGTGGGTGGCATTGTGCTGTGCATGTTGTTTTGTCGTGGTGGTCTCTCGTTTTATCTATTTCTCTTTTATTATTTATTTATTCTTCTTTCTTCTTTTTCTTTAAAAAAAATAAATAATTGAGCGATGATGATAAGTTCATTGAAACACTTCACAATGTTTCTACACTTAAACTAAGCTCAACACAAAAAAAAAAAAAAAAGCCAACTATTGCAGATATTTGTGACAAATATTACCATCATAACCTTAAAAGACACAGCCATGTTAAAATCACACACTTTGGTAGCTAGGTTAGTAAATGAATGCCAGCATGTTTTTGATAAAAAATTTTTATGGCAGTAATCTTCTTCCTTAGCTGTAGACAATAAGAAGGAATCAAATTTCTCTTTGAGCCCATGACATGTTTTACAACATGTATGCATACATGTTATCTAAAGACAATTACTACTGAAACAGAGATGACAGCTTCAGTACAACCTGCCATATTTCTAAAGCATGCTATTGGAGCTTAATTTGCACTCCTGCTATTATATATGATTGCAGTCTTTGCAGTGGCTGCGTTTGCATCATTCACCCTGAGCGTTAACGTCTGAGCTGGTAGTTATGGTCTTTATCTCAGTCATCGCTGTCTCAGATTAATGCTGGCAGCCCGTTAAATAAGGCGATTAAAGCCCAGATATGCATGAAAGACCTCCGCCTCTCAATTCAAAGTTTTAGACTAAGATCATTTTATGTTGAGAGGTGAAAGATCTGTTTGGTAAACTTGGGAAATAAATAACGTGCAGAATTCTTTGCGATATTATAAATGTGAAGATGAAAGACGTGTAAGATGTCACGCTCAGAGTGTGTGTTCTAAACGACTCCAAGCTACTACCACATCCCAGTTGGTTGCAGTGCAGCCATTTTGTTTTTGGATAATGGGAATTTGACACCACCCCCACCCACCACCACCACTTCCCCCTCAGTATATCACTGACCTTTCAAAGAGCCAGGTCAGTGAACTAAGGATACGTGAGTGTTGGTTGGGAAGAGCTTGCAATGATGGAGCTACTTTCCTGCAGGCGCTTCAATCTGAGGCAAAATGTGATAAAGCTGTTCAGTGTTCTGATATAATTATATACAAATTGTAAGTAATGTATGTGCCAGAGGCAAACAAAAACCCATTATGTAAATGCATAAAATTTTCATTATTTGGCAATATGGCTGTTCTGGTGTGATAATGATTGTGACAGCAGAAAGATCAACTCGTCTCTCCTACTGTTGTTTTCCTTCAAACAAAATATGAAGGAAATCACGCCAATCTCCATCATAACGCTGCAGGATCTGTAAATACCAATAAATAATTAAATAAATAAATAGCATACATTGCTGTACTATTTTTCTGGATCAGGCAATAGCACATTTCAGAGCAGGTATCGATTCAGCTGCTGTGATGCTGGAGGCAGAGTAACCTGTAAATGTTCATGACTTGGCTCTGAGCTTCAGAAGTTTGTTGCTGCGGGAAGCTTCAAAAAGTTTGAACGAGTACAAAAATGCAAACGACTAACTGTGAGATTGATTATGCTTTATTCATAAAGAGGAGGAAACTGAAATGACCTTAAAAGAAAAGCTGGTTGGGGATGTTTGAACGAATGGTAATATCTTCACGATGATTAGATTTATTCATGTCATGTTTAACACTTATTTTGTCAAGTCAAGGACATTTTTTGTGGCCTCTATCAAAAAGGGAATGTGGACAATAATGTTTTTTCCACTGTATGTTTGTGCACATGTTTGCATATTTGTCTAGTCACAAATCTCATGAAACACTGAACGAGTTTTAATGAAATTTTCAAAAAAACAATGTTTTACGTCTACAACTGATTGCCGTCTGGAGTCAACACACAAAAAAAGAATGCTGCCACAGTAAACACTTTAAATTAAGGAAAAATGACTTTAGCCCAGTCACATTTATGGAAATTGACCCAATAATTGTTGTATCAGCTGAGACTGATCCCCAACACATATTCTAAGCAACAACAACAAAAAAAAAAGTACATGTAATATTTAATTAAAATTAAAGCGTTAACTGTTTGG